CCCAGCTCTCCCAGCCTGTCACATAATCAGCTTATCTGTTCAACCTCAGTAGCTTTTACACCTGGAAATTAATAATTTATAAGATATAAACCTTTCCCAGCACAAGCACAGGCAGAGCCCTCAGTGGGTTCCACCCATGGCCACGACAGTGCAGGAAGAGCAAAGATCACTCTGTGGGAACCTCCACTCTGCAGGCCCAATGTCCTGCTGGGACACAGCAAGTGTCTGCACTCTGTATGAGGAGCACCAGCTGGCCGGTGATCAGATGCTCTGATGTGCACCAGGTTCATTGCTTTCACTGAACTCCAGTTCACAGAACCATCAGTAGCTCCTCATTCAACATCTGACCTTCTGTGCACTCATTTACAGCACCAGTGTCGCTGCTGAAATTACAGCACAGGCTGCACTGCAAAGGATTCTGTGCAAACCCCAGAATTCATACCCTAACAAGAACCACCTTCTGACAAAATCTTCATGCAAAAATAGGACAGATTTTCATTCCTAATCACAGAACTCGGGGTCAGACTCAGCTTGTGCAGAACAATCATCACCAGGATGCAGCAAACAGCTCCTCATTCCACTGCTCTGCTGCCAAGGACATTTGGAATAATGTGGTGCCCTTAAATTGGTTTGGTTTAAGGTCTGGCCGGATCCAGAGCAGGGCAGTAAATGGATTAAACCCTGACTAAATATTTATCAGATTCTATAGAGACCAGCCCCAAGTTTGTCTCTAATGACAAGGGCTCAGCACCATCCCAGGGCTCAGGGGCTGACAAATCCTTCCCCTGCAGATCTTTCCCTGCTCCTTTCTCTCACCTTTCCTCCAGAATGCAAAGTCAACTTGATTATTTTTGCATTTCTGAGGCACAGAAACCGAGCATGTGCGGTTCTCCCCTCAAATATGCTTACAATTAACACACAAACCACCTCTCCACGAAAACAGCCCAGTGTCAGAAGAAGGAAATCTCCCTGTAACAAATCTGGATTTGTTTAGCATTGCACTCCCATCCTGGCTCACACAACCTCATGCTGTGCTTTATTATAAAACTCAGCCCCAAATGGAGAGGAGAACTGAGGTCTGTGCCATCAGCCACGCCGTGGATCTGGGTGGGGATCCCACCAGTGTGGGGCCCAGCTGGACACCAAGTGGGGAAGGGTGGGAGGGAAGCAGGTGTCAGAAACAGCGAAGTCCCCAATGGCTTTGCTCTGTCCTGGGCAAATAAATAAATCCAAATGCCTGGACAAACCGTGGCATTACTGCAGTCCTGTCATTCCAGAGGGATGGGACACCCAGAAGGGGCTTTTGGAGGCCCCCATTCCCCAGGGCTCTGAAGAAAGGCAGATTATTGCTGCTCAGGCACAGTCACCTCCCAGGCCCAGCCCAAAGCATAATTAGAGGCCTCTTAATTGATCACTAGCTGGGAGGAGCCCAAGGCTGGTAAAGGGTACATCAGTGCAGAAGGTGTCAGCACAGACCATAATACTCCCACTCATTTGCTCCACTGAGGTGCCAGAGACTTATTTTATCTGAAAGGAATAAGCAGAAGGGACACAGGAATTCTCAGTGCTAAAAACCAGGGAGCTTCTGTTTTTAAGGACTGGAAAAGCTTTAGAAAAGCTTCTGTTAACAGCAGAAATGACAGATTTATCAGGTATGTTCCAGATATATTCCCTGTGTGTCCATCCAGCTCCAAGGAATCCTTTAGGAAACAGAGGCCAGGCTTTTATCAGATTATCACAATGAATTATTTAAAATAAGCAGAATAACTAAGAACAGGAAAACTCTTCCAAAACACAACATACAGACACAGACAGACACTTCCACGTGGGCTCCCCATCCCTGGAAGTGTCCCAGGCCAGGCTGGACGGGGCTTGGAGCACCCTGTGCTGGTGGAAGGTGTCCCTGCCCATGGCAGGGGTGCCACTGGATCGGCTTTACTGCCCCTTCCAACCCAAACCCTCCTGGGATTGGGATTCTGTGATTTCTTGGATCAGAAAATTAATTCAGGAGTTTTACAAGTTGCTCCAACTCAGAACAGCAACTTTCCTTCCTTAAGGACTCCTGTACCTCCCCTTCTCTCCCTCTAACAACCAAACGCCATCTACAACCCCCAAACCCATCTATCCCAGCAGTAAATGCTGATGGAGAAGCAGTTTTATGCAGCTCATATCTCTCTGACATTTTGGGCTCATTAGTCCAGAACTGCCCCTCTCAAGTACTCCTGGATCTATACACAGATTGTGACTTCAACAGTTACTTCTCTTCATTCAGAGTTGATTCAAAAAAGAGACAGAGAGAAGGGAATGCTAAAATGCTGCTTTATGATTTACAAAGGCAGCTTGAGTAAGTTTTAGTTCAGCTTCATTAACAAAAATGTGCAAGTTCAGGTCTTGTCTCTATGACAACTCCAGAGGGAGTGGAATGATTCCCTTCCTCTCAAGAGCCTGGAAAACTGAATAATTCAGAGAGGAAGAGATCCTCAGTCAGACTATTTACAACTGTTCAGTGCTGTGAACACCCCTGTAAAGGCAATGTCTCTGAAGATTTTTGGAGAAAGGATGTCTTGTTTATACAGAACTTCTTTCCTTGTTTCGTTCAGAGGGCAGAGGAGTTCCAAAGGGACTTCTGAACTTTCACTGAGTCTTCAGCAAATAAGAAAACCAGACCAGCTTTGATATTTGTAAGATGAAGATAATTAGAAAAGAAAAGAAGCCCTTTATTTAAAAGCCATGTGAATCTGGGCATGCAGGTTTCCAAAGGGGAAAAAATATTTCTCCTTGGACACTTCCAGGGATCCAGGGGCAGCCACAGCTTCTCTGCCCAACCTGTGCCAGGGCCTGCCCACCCTCCCAGCCAGCAATTCCTTCCCAATATCCCATCTATCCCTGCCCTCTGGCAGTGGAAGCCCTTCCCTGTGTCCTGGCACAGGTCTGAGTCTGGCAGGTCAGTGTGGAGCAGAAACACCTCCAGTGCTGCAGGAGAACCTGGCAGTGTGGAGACACTCCTGCTGTGCCACACACAGGGCTGCACATCTTCATCTGCTGAGCTGCCCAGGGAGGGGGGACACTTGTGAGCTGGCAGGCTGTGCCTCCAGACAGTCCCTGCCAGTCTGAGCCTCTGTAACAAATCTAGTCTCGCCCAGGCCCTCCCATCAGAACATTTTTAACACTGATCACTGTGCTCAGCAGTTGTATTGGTGCAGTTTCAATAAAGCTGGAAGGATTCAGTCAGAAGTGGGGGTTTGAAAGTGCCACATTTACAAATGCCCTTTGCAAAGGCTCCCTGCTGCCAGGGGCAGAGCTGGGCACCACAACGCTCAGCCCAGCACTCTGCTCTGCCTCTGGAAAGCACCCGGGAGATCAGTGACACCACAGAGCCCCACACTCATCAGGGCTGGCAGAGCCCTCCAGGATCACCCAGTGCCACCCCAGCACCACCACAGTCACCCCTAATCCGTGTCCCCAAGGGCCACATCCAGACACTTCTGGGACACTCCCAGACACAGGGACTCCACCACCTCCCTGGGCAGCCCCTGCCAAGGCCTCACCACCCTTTCCAGCAACAAATTCCTCCTCCTGGCCAACCTGAGCCTCCCCTGGCCCAGCTGGAGGCCGTTCCCTCTCCTCCTGTCCCTGTTCCCTGGGAGCAGAGCCCGAC